AGCGAGCTAGCTGGCTAACGCCCCAACGTTCTTGTTTTTGTGGTCGCGGACAGTCGCTATGACAACCTTCTTTGCCTGAATTAACAATATTGAAGTGGTCACACACCGCACTTTTCGCCCGCTTCATTTTGTTTTCAACCCTGGTCTCTCTCGTTCTCACGCTGTGTTCAAGTTACAGTAAAGCGCTAGCGGTTAATCGTGATTAATACATTTCGATCGATACATTTTGAACCTCTTGATCGACAATTAATCTAAAGTCGATTAACCGTTTGCATCCCTACTTCAGACATAAGCAAACCGGCTTATCCTGAATGATCCCCAACAGACATAATACTGCAGAAAGGCGCTTTTTCCCAGTAAAAAAGTCACATCATTTCATTTCTACGCTAATTTCCAGCTTTAATGATGCACTTTTGTTTTGAAAAAGGTCATTTATTTACTTATGTTTTATAATCTGGGTGACTGTTTAATTATGTTTTCTGTCTTTATTCATATCTAATTCCAAATGTAAATCCATATCATTTTAATTTATATCCTTTAAAAAAGGTAATTCATTTACCTTAAAACATGTTTTATAATCTGAGTGATTATGTTTTCTGTCTTTATTCATATCTAATTCCAAATGTAAATCCATATAATTTGAATTTATATCCTTTAAAAAAGGTAATTTATTTGCTTTAAAACATGTTTTATAATCTGAGTGCTGTTTAATTATGATTTCTGTCTTTATTCAAATGTAAATCCATATAATTTAAATTTATATCTTTTAAAGACGGTCTTTTATTTACTTTAAAACGTGCTTTATTATCTGAGTGACTGTTTATTGACGTTTTCTGTCTTTTTTCAAATCTAAATCCAAATGAAAATCTGCTTTCCCCTAAAGAGGAACAGATCTCATTTATTGATCTGGAACCGATCGGACTGCAATCGGAATGAATCAACCCTTTTTATTCCCTCAATTGATTTCCACATTTCACATTTCTCTGTTCTCTGTATAAATATAACAGTAAGAAATATGTGAAGAATATAAACCAAATGGTTGAATAAGTCAATTAGATTTTAAAACATTAAAGGTGAATTAATGACCTTTTTATAACAGAAAACGCATAAAAATAGGTAGAAATTACAGCCAAAAATATGAGATTGTGTATTTTTTATCATTTAACAGGAGCATTTGTAGTCTTTTGATTTATTTATGTTTATTTTTAGCTGGTTCTGGCCCCGTTTTGGACCGGATCAAACACAAATCTGTGGCTTTCCCCTAAAGAAGAACAGATCTCATTAATTGATCAGGAACCGATCGGACTGCAATTGGAATGAATCAACCCTTTTTATTCCCTCCATTGATTTCCACATTTCACATTTCTCTGTTCTCTGTATAAATATAACAGTAAGAAATATGTGAAGAATATAAACCGTTTGGTTGAATAGGCCAATTAGATTGTTATCATTTAACAGGAGCATTTGTAGTATTTTGATTTATTTATGTTTCTTTTTAGGGCAGCACGGTGGTGTGGTGGTTAGCACTGTCGCCTCCCAGCAAGAGGGTTCTGGTTTCGAATCCCGGGGAAACCAGGACCAGAGGGTTCTGGGTTGGAGTCCCCGGGGGAACCAGGACCAGAGGGTTCTGGGTTGGAGTCCCCGGGGGAACCAGGACCAGAGGGTTCTGGGTTCGAATCCCGGGGGAACCAGGACCAGAGGGTTCTGGGTTCGAATCCCGGGGGAACCAGGGCCCTTCTGGGTGGAGTTTGCATGTTCTCCCTGTGTCTGTGGGTTCTCTCCGGGTTCTCCGGCTTCCTCCCACAGTCCAAAAACCTGCATGTTAGGCTGATTGGAGATTGGGGAAATTGCCCTTAGGAGTGAATGTGACTGTGTGTGGTTGTTGGTCCTTGTGTGTCTCTGTGTGTCCCTGTGATGGACTGGCGGACTGTCCAGGGTGTACCCTGCCTCTCGCCCATTGGCTACTGGGATAGGCTCCAGTTCCCCCCGCGACCCCATCAGGGAATAAGCGGTATTGATAATGGATGGATGTTTCTTTTTAGCTGGTTCTGGCCCCAGATCAAACACAAATCTGTGGGTTTCCCCTAAAGAGGAAGAGATCTCGTTCATTGATC